GTGTTAAAGGGCTCTCAAGAACTAGAAAATAAATGATTAAAAAATCCCTGCACCAAACTTTTGAAAATGTTAAACTTCAAAGTTGAAGAATTAATTTGTTTTAGTGAAATGTCTAATAGACATTTTCATAATTTTTACTGTTGAGAGATGCCATTTTTGACAATTTTTATTTCCTGAGTGTAAGGTAAGAACCATTGTAATTGAGTCCATTGGACGACAAAAAAATAGGTCTCTTGTTTCCGTCTGTTTGTCCGTCCGTCAGTGTCTGCCGTCTGTTCGGAATTTTATTAGAGAGATATTCTCCGAAACTACTGAACCGATTGTTATCAAATTTTAAACGTGTATTGTGTATTAGCAATATCGTGTAGATGGTAAAACGCTATTCATCCCCATCAACACTAGAATGTCGTCATCTCAAATTTACATTAGCAAATATATTATTTAAAGTTTATAAAATAAGATACTCCTCTAGTTGTAGTGTATCGGTCTGTGTCGAGTTTTTACCCTAGACATTCAAAATTTTTTAACAACATTTTGCAATTTCACTTTGAAATTGGAAAATCGAATGCTCTGAAATCTTGCAAATGTTTGAAGGCTATAGGAATCATGATGACAAATCGTTAATCAAAATTTATTCGTTTATGGCCTCTCAAACAAGTGATGTGGTTTATGAATCCGTGTTGCGTTCACTTGGAATTTAGATTTTTGGGAAAAAAAATCAAAATTGTATGATAGCATTTTATAATCGAAGCTGTGAAATTTTTCAAATATTTTAAGGTTATTAGAACCATGGTAAATCATTAATAAAATTTGTTCATCATTTTACAATTTTGCCGAATAAATTTTCTTCAAATTCATGATTGTTTTTGGGGAAAAAACAGGGTGGTTAATTAAAATTGGTCTTGTCCTCATTGAATTGAGTAGATAAAATCAATCAAATTTCATTTTCTTTTAACTGGTGATGCTTCTAATCTGAACGTGCTAATAGTCGAATTGTTTCGAAGTATAAACATAAACAGTCGAAGTTTTAAGCCTGCACTGAGAAATATTTACTTCTACTTTTTTTATCGTTGGTTAACTGCTATATTTCGTATTGTCCACATTTGTGCGGATCGCGCCCCCTTGAATTCTTCATAGAGATTATCACGAAACGAAATTTTTTAATGTTTTAAAGAACCGGGATTTGTAGACAATACTTAGGAATAACGCTCGAACAATTTTTATCAGAATTTTGGACTGTCAATTAAATTGATATTAAAACATATCAGAATTACGAAGTTAATCCTTCAATTTTGAAGTTTAATATTTTCTACAATTAGATTCAGGGTTTTTTTTAACCATTTTACGAGTTTTTCAGAGCCGTCTTAACCAGTCGCAACGTTTTCTACATAGAATTTTCGGTACATTTTCAGAATAAAATATCTCCATTATTAACAGTCTTATGGTTGTAAAATTTTAAATATAAGCCATCCATAACTTTGTTCATCTAACGCAAGGGTAGTTTTGTTAAAAACAGTTTTTATTTTTCAAATTTCGGAACACTGTTTTCAGCTTACAAAACTCCAGAATCGTACCGGATATATTGTCGAGTTTTTTTTGTCAGAAGCAGTACACAGTAAAAAAAACTTTAAAAACTGCTAAACGATTATTTTTACTATATCTCAATTACAATAAATAAAGTCGAAAAGATATCTGGTACGATTTCTGAAGTTTTGTAAGTTGAAAACAGTGGTGAAATTCGCGTTCCAAAGTTTCCATATATAACTAAAATATTGATTTTTTAAAATACGTGATGCAAAAATTTCAACAAAATTTAAAAAATATCTGATAAAATACTGTTTACAAAAACTGCCTTCGCATATTATAGGTATAGTGAAAAGTCATATTTAAAATTTCATAACAATAAGTGTGTTAATAATGGAGATATTACATTTTGAAAATGTATTGACAACACCATAAGAGCCAAACGTAGCGACTCCTTTTAGCAACGTACGGTTGAGCCTAGCATTTTTGGTCACCTGTATAATGTCATTTAAAAATTTCCCTAGGTAAAGTCTATTTAAATTGTGGTACTGTCTTTGTTTTTACCTTGGTCTTCTAGATTTTTCGAAAACAAAATGTACACCATTTTACAATTTAATCGAAAAATTACTAAATTGATTTTTCTGAAATTTCGCAAATGCTTTGAGGTTATCGTAGAATGGTAAACCACTAGTCAAAAGTTATCTAAAGCAACATCTATATACTTCTATTTTGACTTATAAAAAAATAATTCACACAACAAAATTTATCCAAAAAAAAATTTCATTATCACTTAGCAGCGAAGGAATTTGTGTTTAAACAAGATTACTTTCTTCATATTTTTGTTCAAAAATTGTTCGTGAAACGTTATTTGATCGGCATATAAATGTTGGTTTACAGAAAGGACTAACAAGATTTTAGGTAATAATCTTAATAAGCAAAATAAGCTGAAAATTATTTTACATCAAATTTTGTCAAAATGCCTAAAAACCTACGGGCGGACAGGCGATCCAAGTCTAGTTGGTCACCCATCAAAATCTGCACTCCGAATAGAGTTGCGTAACTCACATATCTGTCCTCCGAATGTTCTTAGATACAATTTTATTTTTACGATCAAAATTTAAATAAGTCACAAACTACTCAAAACATGCAGTAGTATGAATGCTCATATTTTGACCTAGAAGTCTTCCAATGGCATAAAACGTTTTAGATATTTTTTTGGTTATATAGTCTATATGACTGTGTTAGTTTGGATTTTCATCAATTTAGGAACCTAATATTTTGACTGTATTGTTTAAAATGTTTTTTTTTTCATTCCTGAAGTAAATGTTCTAGGTTGCGTTTTTCGTTTATTGCATAATAATTTATTTACTGCAAATCAATTCGAAGCATTTGACCTCGTGTCCTTGGATATCTTCATGAACAACAGTACTTAGGCATGTATTTATCAGCTTATAAAACAATATCTCCGGTTCGAATATGTTGAGGAAGATCATTGATTTATATTTAAACAGTCGAGATCATAATACCGAACTCTGTGGTACTCCGTAATATAGTTTTCAATTTTGTCCCGTTATGTTTTTAGTCGATGAGTATTAGGGTGATTCAAAAAAAAAATAATTTTTTTTTTTCGTGCAAAGAGGTTCAAAAGTTTCTTTTCAACGTAAAAAAATACCAGTTAAAATTTGAGCTCTTAATATTAATATTAAGACCGTCCGCATCGCGTTTTTCTATTTCCCATAAGAATAACATGGGAAAATTTTTGTTTGCACCTTCTGATTTTTATTGCTAGCCCGTCGTGTGTCGTGAAAAAAATTCAATCACATATTTTTATAGAGAATTGAACGCTCTACAAAAAGTGTCTCCTATGATTGTGCGAGAAACCTGATAGTTGAAGAGTTATTTTAGGCTAAAGTTAAATTTATCCAAATTTTGACGTTTTTGATGCATTACAATAAATTTGATGGTCTTATTGGAATAAATCACCACAAAAATTTATACACATTTTAAATTTAGTTTTTTAAACAGTAATTGTTTATAATTTTATGCTATAATAAGGCCAGTAAAACTCTTTCCGAACATTTTCAGCATCAGTGGGTTAAAAAATCATAGTCAGGTTTCTCGCAAAATCATAGGAGACACTTTTTGTAGAGCGTTCAATTCTCTATAAAAATATGTGATTGAATTTTTTTCACGACACACGACGGGCAAGCAATAAAAATCAGAAGGTGCAAACAAAAATTTTCCCATGTTATTCTTATGGGAAATAGAAAAACGCGATGCGGACGGTCTTAATATTAATATTAAGAGCTCAACTTTTAACTGGTATTTTTTTACGTTGAAAAGAAACTTTTGAACCTCTTTGACACGAAAAAAAAATTATTTTTTTTTTGAATCACCCTAATGAGTATGCAATATATGTATTTTCAAATATATTTTGAAGCTTTTGTTGATTAATACTGTTACAGCAGTTCATACTTTCTTCCATTACTTCATCTAAATTATGCATTGTTCCTTTAAAAACTTCGTTTTTCAAGTAACCAAATAAAAAAAAAGTCAAGTGGTCTTAAATTAGGAGATCGTGCCGGCCATGCAGATGATCCGCTTATCGGAAAATTGTAGCAAATAAGCAGTATGTGGTGTTGCACCATCTTGCTGAAAGTAACCAAACTCTAATTCTAATTTTAATGACAATTCAATCATGCGGTTGATTAATGAATTGTCATTAAAAAAATGTGAGATTAACTAATTTCAAACAGGTGGCGATTTCTTTGTATGATTCATTTAGAGACACTTACGACGTAATCGAAGTGTTACTAAACAAGTTCATAAACAATTTTCATTAAATGAATAGAGACACATTAATTATATACCCCTGTAGACGTTACAAGGTGAAAAAGACTTTTCTGAGAATTTGAGCTCTGTCATAATACCATCATTCTATAAATGCATGTTACAAAGTTTACATAGATGTGTGATGTCATTTTCACTAATAGTTTTCAACTTGGATAATTATTGTATTCGATATTTCATTATTGCTTCTGAAATAATTGCTTCCTCTCACCGTGCACGCAATCAAATCACTTACTCAATTCTAAATTTTGCAAATTAACGCTGATTATTTGCAACATATTCCGTTTTTATTGATCCCCTTTTAACCGACACCAACAAAAATAAAACAGTTCCACCTCATTGATGGTGTTACCATTATTTGTTACGCAAGTTAGCAAAATACGTTTGCGGTTGTTTTATTTTTATCCATACATTCTTGGCTCGGTATTCTAATCTTTTGTAAATATTGTACCTCGACATAAACAAATTTCATCGACACGATTGTGCAGCGTAACACGCGTTTATTGCGTTAATTTATCCACAGGAAGCTAAGTCCAAACTTAAACCCACATATTCCGGGAAAAATAAAAATTTCCGTCATGTCTAGCCCACCACGTCCCATTCTAAATGCATACATTATTTTACAGGTAAACATTCGCCAAGACGCTCACGTTCTCGCTTACCTCGATGGCTACGACCTCATTCCTCTGGAAATTTATCGGATCCAACAACCATGTCTGAGGGTCAGGAAAGCAGGGCCGAACGCATTGCCCGCTACAAGGAACAACGCAGGAGGGAACTCGCAGCCCAATTCAACCTCCACAACGATCCAGCGGTCAGCCCCAGGTAGTAGAGTGACACACGAGCGAAAAGTGGCTTGGTTTTTTGAAAAAAAAAAAAAAAAAAAAAAATCGCGTAGAACCAGATCGAACCGATAGCATCTTATTCTTTGTTACGAGGGGATTTCAGTAAAGACAGACTGAAGCTATTACGAGCCTGAATAGTAAACTAGAAGTGTCGGGGCTTCAAGTTATTGGACAAGTGGTGTTGTAGAAAAGTTTATTTCTCCGAAAACAAAAATTATTTGGTTCTGGATGAAAGTGGGCCAAAGTACTTTTGTAGCGGTAATTTCTCTCCGAAAGTGACATTTTAGTTTATTTTTAACTTCAGGATAAAGATAATGGTTGCAAGAGCGGCATCAGTGATATAGGGGGCATATGAGGTTATGTTTTACAGTTTATTATCATGTAAAGAAACCCCTAGATCCGGAACGTAATTGCATTGTCCATTACAATAACGAGAACGCAGCAACATGTCAACGTTTTACTAGTTTTCTAACACCCATAAACGACAACTATTTTACTGTTAAAGAGAGGCATTGTCATTTAGTGTAAGAAGATTTTTCACCAAATTTCTTTCAAACTGAATGGTCTTCATGTCTTAATTTTAAATGAAAGCTCTGTTGTTTAGGGTTTACGCCATATTTAACGAAATTGTGGTAATCCGTAATACATATTTCGAATAAGTTGTAAATTTTGAGGTAAAAACATTTTCTACATTAAGCTTTTTATCAAAAGCTTGCTTACTATAATATTTTCTACTGCTTCTCTTACACTGACGTTTATTTAAAATCATTTAATTGTAAATATGTTTAGATTTTTAATGAATTATTTTGAGTTCATATATAAAATTTTGGAAATTTTATTCATAATAATTAGAATTACATTTACCTTTTGTTTTGAACATTGATCTTCAGAGATTCATAAATTATTATGTCAGTGACCTAAAGAATAAAAAAGTTGTATATTTTATTGTGCATGATGATAACGTTCACTGTATTTAGTACGAAAATCTTAAATAAATTTGGAAAACCCGTTAGATGCTCCTTAAGTAAATAAGGAAACGCTTACAAGAATAAACATAAAAGTGACCGTTATTAAAAAAATATTGTTATTTGGCATTTTGTTAGTGAATTTGAAATATCTCAGATGAACAAACAGACACCCTAACCTTACTTAAGACAAGTATCCGATAATTACTTTGACTAAAGACGGGTAGTGCGACTAGGTGCAACCATAAATAAAAGATAATAAATTTTAAATTATAATAATATAACATGGAGATGTGTGTGGTTGAAAGTGGATCTTTGCGAATAACAGTTTCGGTGTTGATGACTCTTTGAATGAAATATAAACGCCTTGCTTTCATAACTAGTTTTTAACTTTTATGACAACGCAAAAAACACATCACTTGCTAAATAATTCAGGTTGTTACGCCTTCGCACCTTGCTGTACACGACCGTAATGATCATAATTTAGACATGTAATGAATATTTACGATTTTTCTTAGTTCATCATGAACACCGATTTTTAATGCAAATTATTTTTTTCGGCATAATTGGATTTCACATTTTTGGGTCGATATAAAGTACTCCTAGTTAACGTAATCTTGTTTTGTCTGAAAACGTAAACTTTTTCTGTTGCTTGGCGAAATACATGACGATAATTTTAATACATGAAGAGAAATTATCATGTTATTATCACAAACGCATATTATGTAAATTTAACTAAGTAAAATGCTTGAAACAGCGTTTTACTTAGATGTCTTCATTTATAAAAGTTAAGCAAAGGTAATTATATGTCAAACTGTCATGCTAAAAGCAGTCGATAAATTTATGTATGACGTAGGTTTAAATTGCAAAACTGGTTTCCATAAAATATGAAATAAATTCGGCAAAAATTGCATTTGTTAAGTGATGTTTTATTATCAAAGCAAAGGATCACATGTTAAAAGGGCTTAAAATTTGGCAAAAATAAATTTCACTATTTCTGACGCTTTTAGAGAGGGTTTATGCTTTGTTCAAATGAATTCTAGTAACCGCCATCTTTAAAATGGTCGAGCTGTATTTTTAAATATGACCATTCTTTCCACGAAAATGTAATTATGTAAAAAAACTGTCGATTGAAAATTCTTTTATCGTGTTTATAAAAAAAATTGTATCTGTAAAAATATGTAGCCTGTTTCTTTAAAAAAATGCAACCATAAGTTTCATGTGTAAGCTTTAAATGGAACACTTGTCTATTTGAAAATAGAAGTAATGTAATAATAAAATTGTTATTATTGCAATAACAGCTCGTCACCCGAAATAATGTTCGGACCATTTTGTTGCTTTGTATCCTAATTAATGAATCAGTCCTCTCCTCTGTTTTTAGGAGACAATGTTTAATAAGGTAACCGTCATTATAGTTGAACTCTTTCGACGTGTAAATATAAACATTCGAAGTTGAGCATGTAATTACTAAGAGTACATGTTGCCCCTTGATTATCCGGTTTAAATATACTTTATATCGTCCGCTCTTGTGCAGACCGCGTCCCCTTGCAATTTGCGTTTCCGCCATGAGATGTGCGAAGGGAAATACGAGATGTGCGAAATAAGAATTTAGATGTGAGAAATGAGAAACGAGATGTGATAAATGAGAAACGACGTGTACGAAATGAGAAATGGCATGTACAAAATGAGAAACGAGAAGTACAAAATGAAAAAAGACACGTGGGAAATAAGAATTGAGTTGTGCGAAATGGAAAATGAGATATGCGAAATGAGAGTTGGGATGTGCGAAATGAGAATTAAGATGTACGAAATGAAGACATGTGCGAAATGAGAATTGAGATGTGTGAAATTAGAGTTGATACATGAAAAGTGAGAATTGTATTGTGCGAAATGAAAAAGAAGATGTGCGAAATGGGAAATGAGATGTGCAAAATAAAAAATGCCATGTGTGAAATGAGAAGTGCGAATTGCAAGATGAGATATGCGTAACGAGAAATAAGATGTGCCAAATGGGAGACGAGATGTGAGAAATAAGAAATGAAATGTACAAAATAAGAAGCGAGATGTGCGAAATGCGAGATGTGGGAGATGGAAAATGAGATGTGCGAAATGGTCAATGAGATGTGTGAAGTGTGAAATGACATGTGCGAAATGGAAAATGAGATGTGCAAAATGAGAAATTTTCATTTTTCTTTCTCATTGCTTATGTGTCTCATTTCTCATTTCTTATTTCCTCATTTCCCATTTCTTCGAACTTCTCATTTCGCGCATTGCATTTCTCATTTCTCACATTTCATTTTCCATTTCGTTGTTCTTATCTTGCATATCGCATATTTCGTTTCTTATTTCACACATCTTTCTCATTTCGCACATCGTATTTATCATCTCGCACATTGTATTTCTTATATGTGCGAAATGAGAATTGTGATGTGCGAAATGAGAAATGAGATCTAGAAAATGAGAAACAAAAGGTGCGAAATAAGCTACCAGATATGCGATATGCTAGATGAGAATAACGAAATGGAAAATGAGATGTGGGAAATGAGAAATACAAAGCACGAAATGAGAAATGCAATGCCCGAAATGAGAAACATAAGAAATGAGAATGGGAAAATGAGATGTACGAAATTGGAAATGTGGAAGTAATAAACTTCAATCCATTTTTTTGACTTGTATCTGTACTTTTTTAAGGGACCATCATAAAACAAATAAATGTTTGGAAAATCTAATTTTATAATTTTTTGAAAAAACTAGATTTGATCGAATGGAATTTTCGGTCTATTTTCAGAATGTAAGATCTCCGTTAATAACAGACTTATGGTTTTGAAATTTTAAATACAGGGTGTTACTGAAAGGTACGTACAACAAAATTGACAGTTCTTCGCGAAGTCTAAGAAGTCTGAAAAACTTATTTTGTGTTATCAAAATTATAAGGGGAAAATTAACCCTTATCCAACCTTTTTAGACGCTACTGAAGGATAAATAGGTAAAATTAATTTATTTTAGTACATCGTAGCAACTGTAACACTATTAAAAAAAAATAAGAGACCCTTTTGTTGCTATAGAAACGAAAGAGGACCGTTTTATCAGAGGCGTACAACGAATTTGGACATAAATTTTAATAATTTTTATCTCTAAAAGGAGAACACTTTTACCTCAACTTTTTTTTACTTTTAGCACCCATACTTCTAGACCAATTGCCGATTTTATTTTGTACGTACTTTTCAATAACAAGCTGTATATGGTGGTCATAACTTTTTTTTATATAACGGCAGGACAATTTTGTTAAAAACATTTTGTGATCATACTTTTCTTATAATTGTAGTGAAATTTTTGCATAACGTGTTTTAAAAATTCAATATCTCACTTATTAAAGTAAATTTGAGAACACAGTTTTCAACTTACAAAACTCCGGAAATCGTACAAGATATATTGTCAACTTTTTTTGTTAGAAACGATACACAATAAAAAAAGCTTGTGTCATACAAGTTGCTAACTTTTATTTTTACTATATCTCAGTCCCAACAAATAAAGTAAAAAATAGACCTAGTGCGGTTTCTAAACTTTTGCAAGCTGAAAACAGTGGTGAAAACCCCATTCCAAAATTTACATAAATAACTGAAATATTGTTTTTTTTTTTAAATACTTGATGCAAAAATTTCAACAAAATTAAAAAAACATGTGATAATAAATTAATGTAGTGAAAGTTGTGGACAAGTTACACTTAAAATTTCATAATAATAAGTGTGTTAATAATGGAGATATTACATTTTGAAAATATATTGACAACACCTTAAGAGCCAAACGTAGCGACTCCTCGTAAGGGGGTAAGGGAAGTTCTGTCTAAGTAACCTTAGATCAATTTTTTTGGTTACGTGAAAGAAAATTTAAAATCTCATTATGTTATCACGGTTGATCAAAAAATTTTCAGATTAAGTTAGGCCATGGAAATATTTTTCATTCTTTGATTAAACCCATAAATCCTACAAATGTAAATATCCACAAATCGAATGTGTTCAAATTATAATGAAAAGCCACAATTCATATGATTTAATGTTTGAATAACGAATTTAAAATGAATTTTTGCTGCCACTGAATTTTCCCACTCTTCGCCCCTTAATCTAGGCAACCCATCATTCAAGAGTAGGAAAACAAACTTCACCTTATTTGAAATTTAATTTGACAAGTTTGAATTTTGGCTTGCATTAATCTGAGAACTTTTTGATAACTCGTTATATTTTGCGAATTAGTAACTTGAAATTGTAAAGTAACAATCCCTGTTAAATAAGGTTCATAATACAATCATTTAATGACGGATTTTATATTTCTCACTTACCGTGAGTCGAATTTTTTTGTTTATAGAACCGGACATAAAACTCAAATTTAGGCAGCTAAAGGTAAATAACTTTTTATTAGTTGTAAAAGTTGAGCTACGAGGTATAATAAGAATAAGATACGCTGAAACACTGAGCTACGAAAAAGTTGAAATCAAAAAGACATCTTAGGCGGCTGTTTGGAATTTGACTCGTAGCGAATTAATGCACGAAACGTCAAATAATGACAACTTGATTAACAGAAACGTTAACGTCAAAATTTTTTAGTGATATCTAAATTAATTGAAGTAGTCTTCCACCGAACCTTAGTTGAAACAAAAACTGAGCATAAAACAATGATCTATACACTATTCATTAAAGGTTGGTGACGTACTTAATCTAACAAAGTGCTTACTGGAACCTGTTGTGTTTAGGTGATGTTGCGGTGAATTGCAGACATAATTGGCGCATAGTTAATAGGTTCAGTGTTTACTTATAAATTTATTAACGAGACAATCAAAAGGTTCTTTACGTTTCACTGCCAAGAATAGTGTCTATTTAAAATAAAATTTGATGAAACTGCTAGCTGATTCCAAACGCTCACGCAAAGGACCGGTTTTTTTTTCTTATAAAGCCTGTCGGTTGCCAAACGCTCAGCAGGGCCGTATTTGTTGTTACTCTGTAACAAATTTAATTGAGGTACGAAATTTAGTTTGATGACACTTGCACACAAAATTAAGCACAGTTTCACAATATTGGTTACAAACCAACAGTTTTAACACGCTTTTCTTTCGCTAGTTTTTAAACTCATCTCCAAGTAAAAGTTCGTAAGTGCTCGTTCCGTGTCTAGTAAAGTGTAAAGAATACAATGAGATCGGCTTAAACTGGTTCTACCCTTAAAATTTTTTCTAACATTTTCCTCTGTTTTGCTCCACAAAGGCGGAATAGCAAAGATACCAACTCCAGCAGCTCCGAGGGACCCCGAACCACGAGAACGTCACGCCTAAGGGCCGCCGCCACCGCTCAAGAAAATTGCTCTAGTCCCCCAGCTACGAAATTGAATTTTACAGAGGTAAAGCGAACTTTAGTTTGTTTGAAACTTGGCACGCGAGCGTTGGGTTAATGGAAAAGAGTGTTTTTTGATCCAAACACCGTGTCGGTGGGATAACGTGTTAATTAATCACGGGTGTATTGAAAACGGTCAGTGGGTTTGTTTGAGTTATTGCGGCCCTTTTGCCGTCACGGTTGATAACGTTGCGTACCAAATAAAAGAAGAATTCCAGCTGATTACGAACTTCAAGCAGGCGAAGGCGTGTTGTTGAGTTTACTGATCGAAGTTTGAGCATCAGGGGGATAAGTTTCTGAGTGGAACGCAGGGTACAAGTTTCCTTCGCATTATAATCAGTCTATTACGTAGGCAATCCTTGGGGATCTCAGTTAGTCGCGTTTGTATGAGATTAATACTTGAAACGTTTTCTTTGCTAAAAGTGAACTGTTTATAATACGGGTGGAAAAAATTTGAAGTAGGTGTTGTGACGATAAATTTACACCGATAATTTTAAACATAAAGGAGTATTTTTTACCGGTAATTATCAGCTTATAGTGTTTTTAACAACAACTTGTATTTAAACTACTTTAATTTGATTGTTATTAAGATAAACGGAGTTTTCAGAATGTTATCTACCTACTTCATTCGCAAGCATTCATTGTTGAAATGAAATGTTTCCCGAAACGGTGCTGACGTTGTCGAAGTAATGGACTTAACCGACGTTTATTATTTTGATACACATCTTTATGTAATGGAAAAGAGTTCGCTACTGTTCAGTTAATTTTCTTTTCACTAAATGAAAACACAAAGTTGCATTTAGTTCAATTTAATTTATAAAAAATAGCGAAAAAATTTATTCAAAAATTCATTCCTTGAAAAATAAGCGATTAAACTCCTAAAGAAAAAAAGATGAAAGATACATTCCTCAAAGGGACCGTATCATAATTCTTCGATAGCTTACATTCGCGAGTAAAAATATACGATATAATAAGTTTTTTATTGAATGTGTTTTTTTAGTGTGTCTGTTGTGAAATAACGTCAATTAAGTGTCAGTATAATGATATTTTTTCATACAATAAAGTTTTCATAAATTTCGTTCCAACTACTTCATCAACAAAGTGTAAACAGCTTTCAACAATTTATTGTATCTTGGTTGGATTTTCAGAAAAACAGTTTCAGTTCCTTACGAATACTCGAAAACAATACTTTACGATTTTGTGATATATTTTTTTAAATATAAAATACAACAGATTATATAAGAAGTACTCACTTTTCGTTTTCACTCTAATAAAACAGTCACGAAATTTATGTAGTGTTGTTTAAAATTAGTGTGAAGACAATAAAACTTTGACCAAAATTGTTAATTCATCCCCTCCAACAAATTGATGACCTCATCCCAAAACATTATCAAATATATTCTACTTGAAATGCACATGGTGGTTTAATAACAGTCTATCCTTGTTTTTAATTTTGCTAAAAAAGTAAATTTGGACTCTCGTGTTTTATACGCAGATTACGAAACGGCCTTCTTTTAAATTCCGATAAGATTTAGTGATTTAGAGATTACACAATATTACCTAAAATGTATTTATTCATTCCCTTCGGAATGGCGATGATGTTATCTCAAAAGAGAGTTGAATAAATTTTTACTGAAAAATATATTTTCGTGGTTCAGTTAAATTTTTTTAGAATTCCTTTCACACAGATTATCTCAGGAAATTTATTTATGGACCAATTTATTTTATTTATTGGCCTATGCAATAAATGGTATTAGAATTAACATGAAATATGAACTATATGCTGGTATAACAGGTATCTGTTTTTTATATTACGTCAATAAATTTCTTCGTTGTAAATTAGTTGTTGTACCCAGCATATTAAAAAAAAATGCCCAAAGTTATTTCGACAAAACTTTCCTCATCCCTGAAGTACAAATCCCTCTTATTCGGTGTAAAGTTTCAAAAAGTTGTAGTTATTGTTATTGTTTTCTATCAAATAACACTTTTTCCTAAATTTATTGTACTGCCACATATTTACTAGCCTTTTTGTTTTAAATTACGTAAATCTTAGATTATGGAAAACTAGTTCTCCCGTTTCGCCCTATGTGTTCTTTGTGATCCACCGAAGAGATGATTTAACTCTAACCATCGTTTATCTGATTGTTCCCACCAAATATTTGATGACGTCATCTCATTTTTCTAGTTCGTTCGAAAATTTTCTTGTAGATCTTCACTTTTCCATAATCGTTCATGGAAATGTGGGAAATTTTAGGATTTTTTAAAATCTGACGTTCAAACCGAATATTTCGAATATTTTGCTCCGGGACCGTAAACACACTCTATTTTTCAAATCAGCATGTCGAGATCTATATCCCAGAATTTTTAGGTAATTTTTCCTAAAGCTGAATTTTGTCAACCTTGTGAAATTTTTGATCATTTTTCGACCACCTTTGAAACATGGCTAGATATTTATTTATAGAATTCAAACAATAGAAGTTGTTTTAGGCTTCATTTCTTCGAAAATTCTTACCGTTATTATTTCTTGTAGATATCCATCCTCATAAATCATTTTCGTTTTCATTCTGTCAAAAAATTCTACCCCTTTTCCAGAAACGCAAATTGAAATGGTGGAAATTTTATGATTATATAAAAAAGTCTAAAGTTGAAACCTAATATTTCGAAAAATTTAGTCCGGAAACACGCTTTATTTTTAAAATCAGCACTTCGAGATCTATAGCCCACATTTTTTTTGTGAATTTTTAGGCCATTTTTCCAAAAGCTCAATTTTTCAAAACTTACCTTGCAGTTATTAAACTTTTTCGGCGACCTTCGAAAATTAGCTGAAGACTTTTTTTTTTTTGTAGAATTCAACTCTTAGGGTTGTCAGTTCTTTGAAAATTCCTACCATTTTGAAGAATCTCCAATTGAAATATGGCGATTTTTAGGAGTATAAAAAAAAAATGATTTTCAAACCGAACATTTGAAAAATCTTTCGGTTTCATTTTGTCAAAAAATTATACCACTTTTCCAGAATCGCAAATTGAAATGGTGGAAATTTTAGGATTTTATAAAAAATCTGCTGGTCAAACCTACCTAATATTTCGAAAAATTTAGTCCGGGAAAATGCTTTATTTTTAAAATCAGCACTTCGAGATCTATAGCCCACATTTTTTGTGAGTTTTTAGGCCATTTTTCCAAAAGCTCAATTTTTCAATGAAAATTTTTAACTTTTTCGGCCACCTTCGAAAATTAGCTAAAGACTTTTTTGTAGAATTCAAGAATTCAACCCCTAGGGTTTCAGTTATTTGAAAATTCCTACTATTTTGGAGATTGAGTATTAAAGAATTTGATTTTCAAACCGAACATTTCAAAAACCTTTCTGTTTCATTTTGTCAAAAAATTATACCACTTTTTCAGCATCGCATATTGAAATGGTGGAAATTTTAGATTTATATAAAAAATCTGAAGTTCAAACCTATTATTTCCAAAAATTTAGTCCGGGAACACGCTTTATTTTTAAAATCAGCACTTCGAGATCAATAGCCCGCATTTTTTTTCTGAATTTTTAGGCCATTTTTCCGAAAGCTCAATTTTTCAATACCTACCTTATGAAATTTTTGAACTTTTTCGGGCACTTTCGAAAATTAGCTAAACACATTTTTTTTTATTTTTGTAGAATTCAACCCCTAGGGTTTTAGTTCTTTCAAAATTCGTACCATTTTGTAGAATCTCCAATTGAAATACGGAAATTTTTAGGAGTATTAAAAAAAAATATTTTCAAACCGAACATTTCAAAAATCTTTCGGTTTCATTTTGTCAAAAAATTATACCACTTATTCAGAATCACAAATTGAAATGGTTGAAATTTTAGGATCACATAAAAAATCTGATGTTCAAACCCAATATTTTGAAAAATTTAGTCCGAGAACACGGCGCTTAATTTTTAAAATCAGCACTTCGAAATCTATAGCCCGCGTTTTTTTTCTGAATTTTTAGGGCATTTTTCCGAAAGCTGAATTTTTCAATACCTACCTTATGAAATTTTTGAACTTTTTCGGGCACTTTCGAAAATTAGCTAAACACATTTTCTTTATTTTTGTAGAATTCAACCCCTAGGGTTTTAGTTCTTTGAAAATTCGTACCATTTTGTAGAATCTCCAATTGAAATACGGCAATTTTTAGGAGTATTTAAAAAAAATATTTTCAAACCGAACATTTCAAAAATCTTTCGGTTTCATTTTGTCAAAATATTATATCACTTATTCAGAATCGCAAATTGAAATGGTTGAAATTTTAAGATACCATAAAAAATCTGATGTTCAAACCCAATATTTCGAAAAATTTAGTTCGAGAACACGGCGCTTTATTTTTAAAATCAGCACTTCGAGATCTATAGCCCACATTTTTTGTGAATTTTTAGGCCATTTTTCCAAAAGCTTAATTTTTCAAAACTTACCTTATGCAATTATTAAACTTTTTCGGCAACCTTCGAAAGTTAGCTGAAGACATTTTTTTTTGTAGAATTCAACCCCTAGGGTTATTAGTTCTTTGAAAATTCCTACCATTTTGAAGAATCGCCAATTGAAATATGGCAATCTTTAGGAGTTTAAAAAAAATTGATTTTCAAACCGAACATTTCAAAAATCTTTCGCTGTCATTTTGTCAAAAAATTATACCACTTTTCCAGAATCGCAAATTGAAATGGTGGAAATTTTAGGAATTTATAAAAAATCTGACGTTCAAACCTACCTAATATTTCGAAAAATTTACTCCGGGAACACGCTTCATTTTTAAAATCAGCACTTCGAGATTTATAGCACCCTTTTTTTGAGAGTTTTTAGGCCATTTTTCCAAAAGCTCAATTTTTCAATGAATTTTTAACTTTTTCGGCCACCTTCGAAAATTAGCTAAAGACTTTTTTTGTATAATTCAAGAATTCAACCCCTAAGGTTTCAGTTCTTTGAAAATTCCTACCATTTTCGAGATTTTACCAATTGAAATACGGCAATTTTTAAGAGTATTAAA